CATGCTGCGACGTGCCCCGCAAACTCTGAACCGGGGTTTAGGGCTTAAGCTCTATATAGGGTCCCTGATTACTTCAAGGCGATCGAGTCCTTTCTCTACACCAAGTCCCTAGGCCCTGAACCCGAAACCCAAAACCCTGCACCCTAAACCCCATGCAAACTCCAAAGCCTAAACCCTAGCCCTAAACCCCAAACCCTAAACCCTAAACCCTCGACCCCAAAATTCCCGATGATCCTAGGCAACCTGTGGGAGTTCCGCGCTGGAGCTCTTTACCAATCCACAGTTCCAGATTGGTTATGCCTTAGATGACTTGACGCCCGGCTGCCTTTTGTCGGGTTTAGGGTTTAGGAGTTTAGGGTTTAGGGGTTTAGGGTTTGGGGTTTAGGGTTGGGATGTTCCCCCCTAATACTAACAGCCCTTACTAGGGATTCTAATTTGGGGTACGAGAGTATTCCTATTAAGGACTGTTAGTACAAGGGGGAACATCCCAAGGTATCGCTCCCTAAACCCTAACCCCCTCGTGTCCGGTGCACGCTGCTGACCACAGCTTGGGCTTCGCCAGACGGTTGGAGGTTTCGCGTCGAGGCCTCAGGGTTCGGTGGAATTAGGGCTTAGGGTTCAGGCTTTGGGGGGTTTCGGGTTTAGGGTTTAGGGGGTTTAGGGGGTGTAAGGGGTGTAAGGGGTTTAGGGCTTAGGGTTTAGGAGGTTCGTAGCACTTCTGTGAAACAGGGTTCAAGGTTTAGGGTTTCGGGTTTAGTGTTAGGGCTTTTAGGGTTTAGGGTTCAGGGTTCAGGGTTTAGGGTTTAAGGTTTAGGGTTTAGGGTTTAGGGTTTACGGTCTTTAGGGTTTAGGGTTTGCGGAAGAACCAAGGATATGCATGCCCGGCCACATCAACTTCGGCGTCCACGACGTGGCGCTGGAGTCGCGCTTCACGCGCGGGCTGAGTCTGAAAACGCCCATCGTGCACCTTGGACGCCCAGGTCTATGGCGGGTTTAGGGTTTAGGGTTTAGGGTTTAGGGTTTAGGGTTTAGGGTTTAGGGTTCAGGGTTCAGGGTTTGGGGTTTAGGGTTTAGGGTGGGAGACGATTTAGCGTGGCTCCCGGCCACACAGGCAGCAGGTAGTACCTCAGCCCCTAAACCCTGCACCCAAAGAACAAGCTTGGACTTGGCTAGAACATGGGCTGTTGGGGATTGCTTATGTCGGGATTGGGTGTGATTTTGTAGGGTTGAGGGTTTTAGGGATCCGGGATTAGGGTGTGGGGTGCAGGGTTTAGGCTGCAGGGTTTGGTTGTGAGGTAGGCGCCCTCATAAACACTAAATAAACCCTGAAAGCTTCAAGCCCTCTTCTTGCGACGCCGGAACCCCGAAAGGATTCAGGGCTGTTGAGGGTTCGGGGCCAAGGGCTGAAGGGAATCCACCCTAAAGGCCCTCCCTACTACTCCCCTCTATACTACCCACCGGCCCCCCCTGGGTAGCCAGGGGGGGTAGTATATCGGGGGGTAGTCGGGGAACCCATGATATAAGCTCTCACACCCGACGGCCTAGAACCCGGACTCCCCATTTAGACAAATGATAAGATGATAAGGTCCTTCGGTGCAAGGCTGGGGTTTAACAGGGTTTAGGGTTTAGGGTTTAGGGTTTAGGGTAGTTTCATGGCCCTCAATATGGTCCCTTTCCTTCTTTGAAAGGGTTCTAATGTATGGGCCCTTAATGTGTATAGGGTAGACAAGGTGCATCTAAGGGCTACTGGTGTAAGGGTCCATACTACAAGGGACCGTGCAACCACCCTAAAATCAGGGGGGAGAGGTAAGCCAATGTTCTCTGAGTAGTCCCTACGCTTGCCTAACCTCCCACCGTGGTGGCCTCTCTCTCCCTCAAGGACCCCTAAACCCGAAACCCTAAACCCTAAACCCTACACCCTAAACCCTAAACCCTAGACAGGTCTAGTCCGATGGACACGGTGACCGAAGCGCAGATGGCCATTGCCATGGCGTTAGAAGGCGCGCCCGCAGAATTTGCTTAGGGTTTAGGGTTTAGGGTTCAGGGTTCAGGGTTTAGGGTTTAGGGTATAGGGTTTAGGGTTTAGGGTTTTGTGTTTAAGGTTTAGGGTTTAGGGTCAAGGGTTTAAGGTCGAGCCCCTTAACCCTAAGCCCCGAGCCTTGTAACCCCACAATCCCGAACAAAAGCACCACGAGCCCAATCTAGCTCCCATATGCCATCTGTAGGCAAAGTTTTGGGGAAGGTGTATCGAGTCACCCTACCCTTCCCAAATCCTAAATCCGAAACCCTCCTAGGCCCTAAACCCTGAACCCCAAACCCCATGCCTATAGACCCTAATCGCCAAACCCCAAACCCCTAAGCCTAAACCCAATCGACCCTATCTCACCCATGGACCCCAAGCCCCAAACTTCTGAACCCAAGCATGCTTTTAAGCCAAAAACTAGATGTTCAGCTGGCGTGAAGGGGGGCCAAGATCGATGCAGGTGGCATTGGGATCATTCACTCAAAGCTGCCAGCAGCTCTGGCGGCAATCCAAGCCGTAGCTGGACATGGCTTAGGGTCTTAGGGTTTGGGGTTTTTAGGGTTCAGGGTTTTGGGGTTTTGGTGATTCGGGGTTTTGGGGCTTTGGGGTTTTAGGGGTTCAGGGTTTTGGGCTTTAGTGGTTCAGGGTGTAGGGCTTTTAGGGTTCTGGATGTTGGTGTTTTCAGGGTTCAGGTCTACCCTAAACCCTAAACCCTGAACCCTGAACCCTAAACCCTAAACCCTAAAGCCTAAACCCCAAACCCTAAACCCTAAACCCTAAACCTCAGGGCTTACAGGAGGCTCTTGGACTCTAGGGCTTAGGGAACTGAAGCCTGAAGCTTTGACCTTGAGTCGGTGGGTTTCGAGGTAGGGCTTAGGGTTTTGGGGTTTAGGGTTTTGGGGTTTAGGGTTTAGGGTTTAGGGGTCTGGGTTTAGGGTTTAGGGTTAGGGGGGGGGGGGGGGGGCAGAATTCACTCCTGGGTAGGACATTGTGATGCGTTGTGTTTAGCGTTCTTTGGGTCTAATCCTGAAAGCCAAAAGCCTCAACCCTGAAGTACCTTGCTAGGACATATTGTACTTCGGAGACTTGCAAAGGCCCACCTAGACTCGTTCACCTTCTTTCCCAGCCTTTGAGGTTCATGGGTAGTCTGGGTTTAGGGCTTAGGGCTTAGGGCTTAGGGTTTAGGGTTTAGGGTTTAGGGTTTAGGGTTTAGGGTTTAGGGTTTAGGGTTTAGGGTTTAGGGTTCATAAGTTGAAGCAACTATATTTATAACCTCAGTTTATTTACAATGAGCTGAGGTGGAGGCGCAAGCAGAGCTCGTCCGCGCCGTGAAGCGCTTCGAGCAAGGGTTCATAAGCCACTCGACTGGTTGCGAAGGAAGCCCTCAGGGTTTAGGGTTTAGGGTTTAGGGTTTAGGGTTTAGGGTTTAGGGTTTAGGGGGGTCCTTGTACCTCCTGAATATGCAGTTGAGCCCCAAAGTCCTTTTGAGGAGCTACTTTAAGGCTCAAGTATTCCCCTATTTAGGTACATGGACCCTTAGGGGAAGCCCATGACCTTGAACGGTTCGTTCTCTTGCTCATGGTGGTACGTGACTTAAGTGACACACTTTTCTCGATTTGGGGCTACAATTCCCTTCTTTTCTGTTGTTGGGGCGGGGGGGGGGGGGGCAAGGAGCTTCTGATTCCGGCCACCGGTGATTTTTTTGGGGGGTGTGTTGAAGGTCTATAGGGTGAGCAAACTACACACAGGTCAAATGCATCTGCTCGCCTTTCCTTGTTTACGTAGGAAGTGCTCCTTCAGGGGGGGTTCTTGGGACCCTCCTTTGCATCTAGGGATCCAGGGTTTCCGGGTTTCGGAGGGTTTAGGGTTTAGGGTTTAGGGTTTAGGGTTTAGGGTTTAGGGTTTAGGGTTTAGGGTTTAGGGTTTAGGGTTCGAGACACGCCATTGAACGGCTTGAGGGGCCACTGCATCACTTATAACCTTCGGAAGTCGATCGCGTACTGACACCTTGATGCTGAGCAGCTTCACTCCGTAGACCGTGGCCCCCCCCCCCCCCCCCCCAAAGCCCTCAAATAACCCTAAACTCTTGAACCCTCAACCCTAAACCCCTAAACCCCCTAAACTCCCTAAACCCCCTAAACCCCCTAAACCCCGAAACCCCTAAACCCCCTAAACCCCTTAAACCCCTAAACCCTAAACCCTTAAATGTCCTTAGAACCCTCAACCCTAAGCCCTCCAATCTGGATTCAAAAACCCTAAACTCTAAACCCGAAACCCTAAACCCCAAGCCCTAAACCCTCGGCCCCGCCTAATCTGGATTCAAAAGGCAAGCCCACCTGTATCCCTCCGACCATGACGCACGGAGAGCTGATGAAGCTGCAGGAAGGATGCGCCTCGTCGATATACCTTTACGGGGTTTAGGGTTTAGGGTTAAGGGTTTAGGGTTTAGGGTTTAGGGTTCAGGGTTCAGGGTTCAGGGTTTAGGGTGTAGGGTTTAGGTTTAGGGTTACCTATTTGTTATATACTTGGGCCTTTCAAGGGGTTCCTATCTAGTAGCTTTAAGGTCCTGCAAGGTTCTAGTATATACCTCATAGGTACATGAATCCTTAGAAAATGGGTTTCTGGGGTAAGGTTTGGTGCCAAGCCGTTAGATTCACGAAGCTAGTTGAACGCCAAGCTCCAACACTTTGAGCCCGCAAGTTGATTGGATGCATGTGTGGACACAATGTTAACCTTAGTAGCTGAGTAGATAACCTTTAACCTTTTGGGCTATGTACAATCCTAAAATTGAAAGGTTAACCTTTTTAGCGTGTGGCTTGCAGCAGGGCTTGTCACAACTTTACCTGTGGCTAACACCTTTACGAGGTAGGCGCTATCACAGATCTGGGTGGTCTAACTAAGTTGGCCTTGGCTTGGTTCGCTTTCTTAGTTGTCCTTTATTCGCTTGCCCTAGGTCACCCAACTAGTGCACGGCAATATGTTCTTGCGGTGGTTTCTTGGTTGCGCATTCTTCCTCTCCTCTTTCGCATGCCTCGCCATGGGCCCCCGTGCTAGATGGGAAACCTCTCCAGATGTTCCAGGCTTGAGGTTGGCCTATTCGGCAGAGATCTGTCGCCCGCTCTCGCTTGAGCATTTCCCTGAAGATGTCTTTCCAGTGCTGCAGATGCACCCATCAGCTTCGGGAGTCACGTTTGCAACTTTTGCAAGCTTTGAAAGGATTGCGAACATCAGAACAAATGGGGCCTGCTTGGTTATCCTTTCCGGATATGTCAAGCCGAAGGTGGAACGGTTGGGCTTTGAGAGTGAGAGAATCATCTCCACAACCATTACGGTAAAAGATATCATCCAGAATTGTGAAGAGATGCGTGCGGTGACATTGGTGAATATGTCGATGGATTCTGACGAGTTCTTTTCCATCCCCGATGCTGCGCCTGATGTAGAGGTAGCTCATGTTGAGAGAGTGGCCAATTTTTGCAGAAATTCGCCAACTCGACTCTACAGCAGACGATTGGGCCAACTTCGGGAATCTGGAAGCGTTCCATAACTATGTGTGTCAGGTCATTGAGCACCACTCTGTGCTTGCCAATGCTGTGCTTTACAAGATCTTTGAGCGTGAAGGCTACTTGTGCCGGCGACTTCAAGTGCCTGTTGCTGACCGGGATGCCATTTACGCACAGTCCGGGTTTAAGTCTGTACAGTTTCGAGCAGTTCGCAAACCTGACGACGTTCCAGAGGCCGGCCTTGAAGTACTGAAGGTACCGTCGCGCGAAACTCTCGCAGAAGCAGCTGCGCGACTTCATGCGGTCCGTGGAGGCTTGGGTTGCTTCAAATCCCAGAATGCTTTGTATTTCCGTGTGCGTGACAATTTCATCAAGACGGCCCGTGAAACAATCTACATTGACGATGAGCGCTTTTCCGACTTTAACATCGCGGCAAAGTCCCAGCTTCAGTACAAAATCTTCGGATTTCCTGCAGGCACCTCCATGAAAGAGCTCGTTAAGACGCTTGAGGCTCTCAACTTTGTCGCCATTCCTTCCAGGATTGTAAATTTGAAAGACTTGGCCATCGTCTTCGTGTCTGCGCCGCAGCCCCCAGATGCCTTCCGGTACCAGACATCAGTTGGTATGATCCAAATCGTTGAGCTTGAGAAGCGTGTCTTCAATCGCAAAGAGAACAGTATGGTTGCTCCAGCCCCTTCAGGGCAAGGCCGACAGAGTAATGCCAAAGGAAAAGGCAAAGGCGTGGCAACACCTCCGCCTCCTGCTTCCTCCTCTTTGAATTTGCCGAGGCCTGTGGCCCCTCTCTTGCCCAATCCATATGCTGGTAGAGTGGAGGCTCTCGAAGCTCAAATGGAAGCGATGAAGGGTGACGTTGACACCTTGAAGAAGGATAACCTTGACACGAAGCAAAAGCTCTCGGAGATCTCCGACAATCAGAATCGTGGATTCCGGGATCTGTTGGAGGCCATTTCAGAGATCCGCGCGAGCATGCCGTCGAGTCCAAGTACATTCGCGCACTCCCCGCCTTCGAAGGTGTCCCCGGCAACCAAGCATCAGAAGGTCTGACCATTGACTTGCAATGCTTAATAGTCCTGACAACTCTGTGCGTCGCCGTGTCCTTGTGCATACCCTACATTAGCTTGTGTTGCTCCCTAACTTCCCTTATCTCCCTTTTCTTTGCCCCTAATGTGCTTCGGGTGTACTATGCGCCGCGCACCTATGCGAGAGATGGTAAGGTTCTGGTTGGGTGCTTCTTCTCACTTAAGTTTTCACGGACCTCTAAGCGGCGACGCGCTCAATCGCTTGCGAAAGCCAAGCGACAGCTTCGTGCAGCCACATTTGCTTGCCTAATTAGCTTTTATTGGGAAGGATGGCTTCCCAACATCTGCCATGCGCTTGGGAGTCATGGCCATCCTCGGCTCAACAACTACCGTAGCCTTGAGGTTCACCACGATGTTGGAATGCTTTTGCATCTTTCCGTGCAATTTCATGTCGGGTGTCGTTTACACGCACCCCCGACCCTTGCATATACGGGATACCCATCATACCTCATGCCGCCTGAAAACTCGACCTACCATATTAAATTGCCCATATGGGCGCTCCTTCTCTTTTCACCTTGCTTGGGATATCCTGGCGAAGGACCTAAGCTAGGGTTTGTCACTATCAACACTACCTCTTGCAGTAAACATCGGTATGACCTTATTGCTCTGCCAAGTTGCGATAGCAATCCTGTGCAAATCGTCTTCATGCAAGAAACTCGATTGTCCGCCAAAGGCTGTGCTGAGCTCACTCCGTTTCTGAAGCGGGAAGGGTGGGAGATCCGTGTTGGGTATCAACCCCCGGTTAAGCGTTTAAGGTCCCAATTTACTTCCTGTCGCCAACCCCATGGCGGTCTTGCTACCCTATATCGTAAGGATGTTACTGTTATAGAGGTTGCTCTTTCCGCTGATTGGGCATCGCTTGTCCCGCATTGTCAAATGCTCTGGTGCTCCTGTCAAGGTGGCGGGTTTTACGTCATTAACTGTGACCTGCCAGCTGGGGCGGATAAGCGCAGTGAAAGATGCCTACTTCTAGATAGGATTTTTGAGCTTGCGGGTTCTTACAGTAACTTCCCTTGTTTTGTGCTTGGCGATTTCCAAGATGAGCCCGGCGCATATCCTTCAATCCAGCGTGCTTTCTTGACAGGGGAGTGGGTTGACTTGTATGCAAATCAGCAGAATGCATTGCAGCGTTCTCTCGAGGCCTCTTTTGCCAAGAATGGGTGGAAAACAGGGTATGAGGTAGGTCCGGGTAAGACTCGAATTGACTTTGTGTTGTGTAACCGAAAAGCCACCTTCTTGTTTCAATCCATTCGGTATCTAAGAGGCCAGTCCTTCCCTGGGCATACACCCGTCCACTGTTCACTTAACTGCGATGTCTTTAATGAACTTGTGTGGCATCTCAAACCTCACCCGAAGTGGCACTTGCCCGACAAACCCACTTCCAGGGAACAGTGGAGTCAGCGTGAAGCAATATGCCAACCTATACTGCGGCAGCACATCGAGCGTCTACTGCAAGCTGCCACTGCTCGTGACGCGGAAGTGACATGGAGCATTGCTTGCCGAATTGCGACGGACATGCTGAATGCTATTTCACAACAAAGCATACCCCCAACCCGTGGTAAAGTGCCTGAATTCCGTAAAATGCCATTGGTTCCTGACACCACTTCCCCCTGTCGATTCTCCAAAGCTCATAAAATAGTTCGGTGTAAGTCATTGTTGAAAGAACTGCTATTCCGTGCCAACCATTGGCCAGAGCAGCCCAAGTACTGCTGGCTTGTAAACCTTCACAATACAGTTCGGAATCTACCTACTTGTTGTTCGCACATAGGCCTGCCTTGTACTGCCCAAACCGACTGTTGTGTGTCATTAGACGCTTCCGTCCGTGACATGATGGTAGCTGTCCAGCAGTTTGAAGACAGTCTTCTCCGTAACGCTAGAAATGCACATTTGTCCCAATGGAAAGCTAAGTTGCGGATCTCTTCTAGGACTGACAAGAAAGAAGTTCACAGGTGGCTAAAAGGCTATGGCACTGGTCCTCCGAAAGCGTTTGTAAGTCCAGAAGGCGGTCTTGTTGCGTCCCCAAGTGTCATGTTGCAAATGATCGAAGACCATATGCAAACAATTTACAACCACCATGCAGACGTTGACCCGCGTGATGCCTTTGAGGCCTTCCAACTGAAGTATGGTAGTGCCATGGGCTCGCTATACCGTAGCGCTGACTTGCCAAAGCTTACCCACCAAGACCTGTTTCAGCTTTTCCAGAAGCGTTCTCCTGACAAAGCATCTGGTTTAGATGGTTGGGCTACTCGGGAGCTTCTCCAGTTACCGCCTTGTGGTTGGGTTGGGTTCTGCTTTTGCATGCAGATTGCAGAAGCAACAGGTGATTGGCCACAGGTTCTTAAGATGATTGCAGTATCTAGTATCGCTAAGAAACCCCTCGTCGCATCTCCCGAAGATACTAGAGCCATAGGCGTCTCTTCAGCAGTGTATTCTGTTTGGTCATCCTTGCGCTTTAAACAGCTTGCAACATGGATGAACCAGATTTGCCCTGGTAACCTCTTAGGAGGCCTTGCCCACCGAACTGCTGATACCAGCGAGGTTGATTTGTCCCTTGCTCTTCACGACCCTGACTCCCATTTTGACCTTATTGCAGTCTTCATTGATAGGTGGAAGTGCTTCGATCTTATCTTACCCTACGTGGCTTTAAATGTTGCTGCCCAGTTGGGACTCCCCGATCAGATCTTCAGGGCTGTTCTTGGATTTTATGGTGGGCAATGCAAGTTTTTCAAGCTTGGTAATGTTTATGGGAAGCGGGTTATGTGCACTAATTCGGCTGTTCAGGGGTGCTCCATGTCCATTTTAATGATTAACTGTATGTACGCTGTCTTGTCACGTCAACTCAATACTGTTTGTCCCTCCATTAAGTTTAGCACCTTTCTAGATGATTCCAAAATTTGGACCCGAACTAGTGACACCAATGCACTTGTAGATGCCTTTAAAGCCATCCACGAGTTTGATACCGGGGTCGGACAAGTTTTAAACGACGAAAAAACCATCGTCGCGACCCGTAGGAAACGAAATGCTAAACGATTTCTGTTGAAAGTCGGCAGAGCCTGCAAAGCAAAGAAACAAGCCAAGTCATTGGGTTACTCCCACCAGTTTGATAAGAGGCATTCTCCTAAGCTACAGGATGAGCGAGTCGATAAGGCCAAGGTTGCCATGCTGAAGATCTCCCAACTTCCCTTGTCTCCCGAAATGAAGGCCATTCATGTTCATGCTAACGGCCACTCTAAATGGGTATATGGGACTGAGATCCAAGGCCCTTCTAGGAATGCCTTGGCCAAGCTGAGAACTGCAACAGCAAAAGTTTTTGTCAAAAAGGCTAACAATATGAGATGTCCTTTTCTTTTGTTTGCCACGCTACAGGACCCTTGGCTGGACCCTTTTGCAAAGTGGGTGCAGCACGTTTCCTTGAAGTTACGCCGTCTCGCCTACCTCAAGCCAGAGTTGCTTCGCAAAATCTTATCTCAAGTTCGTGAGGATGCTAGAAATAGGCCTGCGCCTAAGCACAACGTAGCTAACGGTGTAGTCAATGTTGTGGCTTACTTGTTTTTCGCGCTTGGTTGGAAAGTAGGTGACCCCAATGCCTTCAACTTGGTTTTGTCTGATGGCCGCATCATCTCCCTCAAAGCAGGTTCCAAAGACGCTTTTTTGGAAGAGTTGGCGCGGGACGTCAGGAAGTATTTACTCAACCAATCACCTTTCAGGTATGACAACCCGACTCCAGGACAGTATGGCACGCCAGATGTGTACCTTACGCGGTTTCTTCTCGACACGACCTTTGCAAAGGATGACGATTTCCAGTTCCTTCGTGGGTATCTTGATAAGCTCCCTCCGAACATACACTACACACGTGGAATTTTGTCATCGCTTCTATCTGGATCTGTCTACAACGGACATCGCTATAGAGCGGCAGGACTACGTGACAGCGCTGCGTGCCCGCAGTGTGGGAAACAGGAAACACATTGCCACATGTTCCGTGACTGCGAAGCTTTACAGGAATCCATCCCGTCCCAAGGTGACGAACCTTTGTTATCCTGGGTAACGGGTATCTTTTTCGAGCCACCCCACTTCCATGACGAGCCTACACAGGCGTGGAAACTTCCGGTGGTGGAAACGCGCTGGTGTCCACAGTCCACGATTTTTGTGGATGGCAGTGTTTTTCACCATCGGTGGGTGCCAATCCGCGCAGGTGCCTCCGCAGTTACAGTTCCCGGCCTTTTTGAACATGCTGTAGCCGTGCACAGTGCCTCTGTGAACTCTTTTCGTTGCGAGCTTTATGCTTTGATCTTGGCTATCCATTTAACAGACGGGGACATCACTGTCGCTTCTGATTGTGCTAGTGTCCTACGTCGTGCCCAATTCTTGCAGATGCATAATTTTGAATGGGATTGTCCTTACCAGTTTGAAAATCCAGATTTGTGGGATCTGTTTCTTGTTGTAGCAAGGGCACACAATGGAAGCATACGGTTTGTCAAGGTCAAAGCACACACCAAAGGAGAAACATCGCAGTGTCCTCTTCTCACCGCAGGGAATGAGCAAGTTGATGCTTTAGCGAAAGCCACAGCTAAAGCTCTTTCTTCCGATCTTATAGCAAGGTCTCGCCCTTATCTCCAGCAAGCAGTTTCCGTGCAAGTTCACTTGGTTGCTACTTTAGTTAAGCGCTCGGCAGCTTGCCAACTTGCCCCTTTTGACGAGGACGAACAGGCCTCTGCAGGACTAACACAGACTGTGATCTGTACTTGTAAGCCCCGCAGGCGGCTAAATAGCAAGCGCCCTCGGAAATGCTACAGTAATTGTCATTTAATGGGACATTCTGTTCTGCTTGGGGATGTAGAGACAAAGGTGCTGCAGATGTACAGAACGAATACTTTACCGCCTGATGTCCTCTTTGACTGTCTTCGGCGCAGATATCTCGGCTTCTTCGCGCATCTCCAGCCAGAAGGGATGCAGTTTTCAGGGTGG